CCACACCCACGCACACCCACCCTCAAGTCTATCTCACATCAATTCATATTTTCGCGTATCAATATGCCATTAGTCTGTCTGAAAACTCAACAAACTACCTAATGGAGGACCAACAGCTTTTAGTAAAAACCAATGTATCGATAAGAATCAATTGTTGATGGTTTATCACTCTTGTTATTATCAACATCTGATAACGTGCTCTAAAGCATCTACATCACAGATCCTTTTCGCAGTCATTTCACTATACTTTCATGCAATCTCATATCGAAACCCGAGTTAGGAAATCAGTTAAGCATTCTATAGAGTAGTAGAAACTATAGGTAACTTCTACCAACTGCCAATTAATGTTTTCTATCTTTTGCATACTATCTCCAGAAAACACCCTTGGACTAGAACCTTCTTTTAGCAATTCTACAGATCTCACTAACTGTTACTTATATCGAAAAAATAACCCAGATTCTTACTCAAAGAGTGACCAGCACACCTACAAATGGCTCATTATCAGCTGCTTTTTCCTAAAACGGTGTTCGTATTTACTGGACGACATATATAAGGCAATCTCTTTCAAGGGCCTTGTCTTAACAGTGTTGCAGACCTATGTCATTGATATTTATGCTGAGAATACAACTACACCTGGAAATCAAATAGGGGAAAACAGCGGTACAGATGGTTCACAACAAGGTACCTTTTCTTATAATGGGGGTAGTATGTACAAGACAATACACATAAGACAACCTCTTTCAAGGCTCTTGTCTTGACAATTTTGCAGGTCTATGCGATTGATATTTATGCTAAAAAGTTCGCTTCACTTCTGAATCAAATAATAGAGAACGAAGACACATGCGGTTCACTACAAGGTACCTTTTCCTTATAATGGGGATGGTATTTACTGGACAACATATAGAAGGCAGCTTCTTTCAAGGTTCTTGTCTTAACAGTTTTGCAGGTCTATGAAATTGACATTAACGCTGAAAATATGACTATATTTGTGAATCAAATAGGAGAGAACGAAGGTACCTATGGTTCACTATAAGATACCTTTCTCTATAATGGAGGTGATATATACCAGATAACATATAGAAGACAACCCATTTGAACGTCTTTGTCTTGACAGTTTTGCAGGTCTATGTGATTGATATTTATGCAAAAAATATGACTATGCTTGTGAATCAAATAGTGGAGAACGAAGGCACATAGTGTTGTATGGTACTCTAGAAATGAGCGTGAAAAGGCGTATAGTCGCGATTTTTGTCTGAAAAAATCGAATCAGCCTAGTATCATTTTTCTTAGATAGTTTTACATCAAAAGACGCAGTTTTTCACGGGCTATCTTCCGATGTTGTCAAAAATTTGTGGAACCCCCATTTTTAAATACAAACAGTCAAAATACTTGGAAAAACCGCGAAAAAATAGAGTGTTTTTTTTTGCTATAAAATACTTTGTTGACCTTTCTTCGTCCAGATAAAAGTGTTCTAGAAGTGGCGAAAAAGACATGGGTTGATAGAATAAACAAGGCTCTTTCTTTTATAAGAGATATCACTATGTTAATGCTTGAAATATTGAAAAGCTTCTGTGCCATATTGAAAGTATGAAAAATGACTATATTTTTCGCCTAGGTCAATGACCCCCTTTGCGAAGTGTACTGCAGAACTCAGCAATGGATTGTCAGATCGAGCTAATATTTTGGATTTAGTAATAACTCTTTAAAACCTTTCTTTTCAGAATATCAAATCCAAAATCAAAATTTTTTCCCCGGCCATAATATCTGGTATTCTGGCGGACAGTCTCTTAATGTTTCATAAACATGTGCCATATCTACAAATGATAGATCACATGTTCCTTGACGTAAATTATTCACACATTGATATATTCATCGAGCATCTATTCAATACAAAACAAGATTTTTGGGTTTTTTTTTGTTTTGATTATTCGAAAAAGAATTTCATTTACTATGCATGCATTGAATAGCTGATGGTAATGTATGTTTTCCAATTAGAATAAGCATATCAGATGCTTATTTTCTCCATGGTTGATTTCGTTCAGGGCAATTGCTTGATATTGCATTGAATAATAATAAAAGATCATCACAACGAGTTAATTCTTCAACACATGAATTACACATTGCAATACAAGATAAAAGCTAAATAATAATAGAAATATTTAAAATATCTTTGTTCTTTTTATACATCTTACTTGAAAAAAATATTTGTTGAAGTAATATACATTTTTCTTTAGGTGATATAGTATCATTATTTGAATGATTTGTTGTTGACATTTCCGGTAAATCAAAAAATAAATATAAATATAAATATTTAGCAGATGTACTTGGTAAATGATGCTTGAGCAAATTTATCCATAATTAAATTAGATCCTGTTAATAATAATTTATTGAACAAAGTAATGCCCATCCTGATAAAGAATTCATATCATCATTGATTTCCAGATATTCAATAACAGAGGTAGGATCGGTTGGCATTTTTGCCAAACTGAACCGACCGTAACCGAAAAAATCTCTAACCGAACCGAACGTAACCGACCGAATTTTTTAAAATTTCTAACCGAACCGACCGTAACCGAAAAAATCTCTAACCGAACCGAATGTAACCGACCGAATATTTAAAAATTTCTAACCGAACCGACCGTAACCGACCGAATTTCAAAAATTTCGTAATCGAACCGAGTTTAGAGAAAGCGAAGTTTAGCTTATGTTAGTTAGGGTATTAGTGCTTTATAAATTAGCAACAACAAATCAAATAATAGCAACTAAAAATAATGAACACTTAGAGAAAGCAAAGAATAAAGATTATTTATTGGATCTTCTTACTGTATTATAACTTCCTTACCTCTCAGGGCAAATTTTAAAAATATGTGAGATAATCCGCGTTGCGAGCAACAGCTAGTTGTTGTACGATTATATTCTTTTTTCTTCTTATGTTTCATTGAAAAAGTCCATTGAACTCAAATGAAACGATTATGTTGATTCTTTCTAACCGAACCGAACATAACCGACCGAATTTTTTAAAATTTCTAACCGAACCGACCGTAACCGAAAAAGTCTCTAACCGAACCGAACGTAACCGACCGAATTCTCTAAAAATCTCCAACCGAACCGATTTCGGTTACGGTCGGTCGGTTCGGTTCGGTTAAAAACCGAACCGGTCCCATCTCTGTTCAATAATAGCTTGACTTGCTGCACTTGGATTAAATTTCTTTATCAACCCATAGATGTATTTCATAGACAAGTAATTTAGCCAATATCAATGTATATTCCGATAATTCAGGAACATATTCTTCCCATTCATTATTGGAAAGTACACTAAGAACTTTAATAATCATTGGTAATGTTGAATAAAGACGATCATTTTTATCTTCTTGTGTCTATTGAATTTTCGGATGTTGATATTCATAAAAAACTTTTAATCTAAATTATAAGTCAAATGACTAATGATTTTACAAAAATTCTTCTTCTTCTTCTTTTTAATTTTTTTTTCTTTTTCAAAAATAATGAAAAAAATGAATTTCAGGATGAGGGTTTACTCATTGTACGTTTACGATCATTGGGTGAGGGTGTACTCATTGCACATTTACGATCGCGATCATATCTAAAAAATAGAACAAATGAATTACAGCTCGAGCAAATGAGCTGATTTTTTTGTCAAGGATAGAAGCATATTCAAGGTTTATATCTATAAAGACATGCCTAGAGAGACACTTTGTTACGTATCATTATTGACCTCAACAAAAAATTATACTTTTTCACAAATAGGAAAAAGAAACCATATACTTAGCAAAGTGTCTCTCTAGACATGTCTTTATGGATACAAAACTTAAACAAGCCTCTGCCATTGATAAAAAACTAGCTCATTCGCTCGAGCTGTAGTAAAGATATTCAATTTTTTTTTCGGTAAAGTGACTTTTGGACCATCCTGTATTTTGGGCAAAAGATGGTCTTATCGATACTTGTCTTTTCCTATACATACTCATCTAGATCCGTAACACCATTATCAAGGAATGCTGTTGGTGACACGACTGGATGATCTTCACTTGTGGTTGATGAACGTGCACCTGATGCACTTGCAGTTGATGAACCTGCATCTGGTGCAGTTGTGGCTGCTTGGATGAAGTTTTTGTTCGGTAAATTAAGCCGTATTTTTCGAAGCAACTTTTCTTTGAACTGATTCTCCTTTTGTAATTCCCTAAAAAAAACCAGTTCTAAGAATTATTATAACTTTAATATACCCTGATTATTTTACGTATATAATCCAAGGGGGAAACAGCTGACTCCATGACTCCATGACTCCACTTGACTCCACCTGACTCCACTTGACTCCACTTGACTCCAATTGACTCCACCTGACTCCACCAGACTGGAGTCAGCAGTCTCTCTCTTGGAATTATTTCCCAAAAACAGAACATTTTGGTTCTGTTTTTGGGAAATAATTCCCATAACAGAACAAAAATGTTCTGTTTTGGGGAATTACTTCCAAAAACTGAACGTTTGTATTGTTATAGGGATTAGAGGTAGCACTTTAACTTTATTTTAAAGTTAAAGCTTAAAGTTTAAACTACACTACTTTAAATTTAACTTTAAAAGTTAAAGTGATCATACTCTAAACTTTAACTTTACAAAATTTAAAGTTAAAGTAAACATTTTCCTATAAAAAACAAAATTTTTCTTAAAAATTCATAAAAATGCATAAACGCTTATGAAAACACTCGCAAATCTTCATGCACTGTAAAAAGAGTCATCCATAGGTAATCATGTCCTCTACATTGAAAGTACCATTGAGTCATCATATACTATATATTGGGGATACCCTTGGGTC